GCTGATTTTTTTATTTATTGTAGAGATGAGGTCTTACTGCCCAGGTGGGTCTCGAACCCATGGGCTCAGGCAATCCACTCACCTCAGCCTCTCAAAGGCACGCGATTACAGGCTGAGCCACTGAGCCCGGCTTCAGTTTTCATTTTTGTTTTATTTTTTAGAGACAGAGCCTTGCTCTGTCGATCAGGTTGGAGTACAGTGGCACAATCTTGGCTCACTGCAGCCTCGACCTCCTGGACTCAAATGATCCTCCTATATAGCTGTTACTATAGGCATGCACCACCATGCCTGGCTGATTTTTTTTTTTTTTAATTTTGTTTTTATTTATGCAGAGATGGGGTCTGACTATGTTGCCCAGACTGGCCTCAAGTGATCCTCCTGCCTTGACCTCTCAAAGTGGTGGGATTACAAAGTGTGAGCCACCGCACCTAGCCTAGATTTGTATTTTAAAAACACATTTAGGGAACACAAAGTAAACTGAAATGATATTTTGATTAAGTTCATTGGTGAAGAAAGCATAATGTTGCTAAGCATTTTATTTATGTTACAATTATTGGCCATTCTAAGGTTATTAGTGGCTAACATTCAACATTGAAGGCTTATTCAATTATGGTTAGCACTATTTTGACTTGTGTGCAGTTAATGAAATCCTTATCTGTTTTACCTTTTATTTTATATTATTTTATTTTTTGTAGTCAGGGTCTCACACAGTCACCAAGGCTGGAGTACAGTGGCCTGATAACAGCTTGCTGTAGCCTTGACCTCCTGGGCTCAGGTAATCCTACTGCCTCAGCCTCCTAAGTAGCTGGGACTACAGGCATGCTTAACTATGCAAGCCTGGCTTATTATGTTTCTGAATTTTTGGTAGAGAAAAAGTCTTGCGGTGTTGCCTAGGCTGGTCTTGAACTCCTGGGCTCAAGCAATTCTACCTTGACCTTCCAAAGTGCTGGGATTATAGGTGTGAGCCATGATGCCTACCCACCTGTTTTTCCTTTCATACCTTTTTTGTGTAAATTAGAAATGTTAATTCTTTTTTTTTTTTTTTTTTGAGTTGGAGTCTCACTCTGTCACCCAGACTGGAGTGCAGTGGCTGCTCCCAGCCACTGCAGCCTCGACCTGCTGGGCTCCGGCGATCCTTCCGCCTCAGTCTTCCAAGTAACTGGAATTACAGGCACGTGCTATCACACCCGGCTAATTTTTTGATTTATTGTAGAGATGAGGTCTCGCCATGTTGCCCAGGCAGGTCTCGAACATGCGGGCTCAGGCAGTTAACTCACCTCGACCTCCCAAGGCGCGGGATTACAGGCTGAGCCACCGAGCCCGGCCAGAAATGTTAATTCTTTAAGGGAGAGTTATAGTCTTCTAAAGAAGTAATATGTTAATATTTGAAATCAAATGTATCTGCCATCTAACGTAGTTGGGTCTCGGTATTAGATGTTAAATTTTTTAAAATAGTGCTGTTTTGGCTCATTAAATTATTAAAGTTAATTTAATATGCATACAATAATGTAGGTTGAAATTATCTAATATGCATATTAAATCACAGCAAGCCTTATCTTTGAAAATATATGCTACAACTAATAATTTAGAAAGACCTTAAATTCAAGTGAAAGAAATAATCTTCTTTTCTCTCTTTCTTTTAGGTGGAATGACCCTTACTTGTTGAGTATCTCCTGGTTACTGGTTGGATTCACTTGTAAAAGAATCATTTTCCTCTGCGTGGAAGCCACTTTGTGGCATATTTAATTATATAGCCACAGATTGAAAAGCTTTTTGATTTCCCAAAGGAGGGACATACCACTATATTCGATAAGCTTCACATTTCAGCCAAAATGGTGCTGTCCCAGAGACAACGAGATGAACTGTAAGTTTTTCTATTTTATGCTTTAAAAAAGAAAAATCATCCTCATAAGAAACGAGTAAATTTTAATAAAGCTTCCAGAGGTCTATACTGAGGTGATTTTTAACAGTGTTCAAATATTGGTAAAATATTGGCAGTTTGATCTGATTTTAAAACTAGGTCTTACTGTGACTGTGACATAGAATATATCTTTATTGTGTATATATTGAAAGGAAAACAAAGAAGTTATTTGGGATAGGTTTTATCTTAAGCTTGTCTTTTAAATATATTATGTTCAGTGGTAACAGGTGCTTAGGCCGGGCGTGGTGGCTCACGCCTGTAATCTTAGCATTTTGGGAGGCCAAGTTGAGAGGATTGCCTGCATCCAGGGGTTCGAGACCAGCTGGGGCAACTTGGTGAGACTTCGTCTCTTCGATAAATAAATAAATAAAAATTAGCCCGGTGTGGTGGTGCATACCCGTGGTTCCAGCTACTTGGAAGGCTGAAGTGGAAGGATCACTCGAGCCCAGCAGGTCAAGGCTGCGGTAGCACTCCAGTCTGGGTGACAGAATGAGACTCTAACTCAAAAATTAAAAAAAAAAAAAAAAGATTTCTCCCCCCAGATACTTAAGTATTCAGTTCCTATTCTACAAACTCACACAGTACAGTTAGCAGTTTTCTTAAATTTAACATTGACACAATGCTTTTGTTTATATATTCTGCCTTCTATATTTTGTCAGTTTGATTCCATGTGTTCTTTATAGCATATTTTTCCTCTTTAGTACACCATCTGATCTAGGATCAGATACTGCATTTACTTCTCATGTCCCTTTAGTTGTTTTTAATCTGGAATATTTCCTCAGGTTTTCTTTGTCTTTTATGATATATAGTTTTGAAGAGTAGTTTTTTGCCGAGTGCAGTGGCTCATGACTGTAATCCCAGCACTTTGGGAGGCGGAGGCAAGAGGATTGCCTGAGACCAGGAGTTCGAGAGCAGCCTGGGTAACTTGAGGAGACCTCATCTCTACAGTAAATCAAAAAATGAGCTGGGCGTGGTGTTGCATACCTGTGGTTCAAGGTGCCTGGAAGGCTGAGGTGGAAGGATTGTCTGAGCCCACCAGTTTGAGCCTGCAGTGGCCGTAAGTGTACCACTGCACTCCAACCTGGGTGACAGAGTGAGATTCTAATTTTAAAAAATATTAAAAATAAAAATAGTAGTCTTCCTCTGCTTTTTTTTTTTTTTTGAGTTGGAGTCTCACTCTGTCGTCCAGACTGGAGTGCAGTGG